CCTGAAACCGACGAGCCAATTTGGCTGCCTGTGCAAGTGAAGGTCAACAATGACCAACAGCGCGCGACCGCGCGCGACCGCGCGACGCGACCGGCGCGCCGTTCGCTCGCTCGTCGGCCCGCCCTATCGTCGCGGCCGCGAGCCGCCGGGCCCCGACGAGCGGCCGCCGTCGGGCGCGCGCGCGGCCGCGCGACGCGCGAACGCGTGAACTTCCGCGACAAAAACACACTGTTTCGACACGGAAAATACCTCAGATTCCGGGTTCATGGGCGAGTGCCGCATGTCCGCGGACGCCAGGAGACCCAACCGACGCTGATGCTCCCCGCCCTCGAGACCGATGCCCTTGGCGTGCATCTCCTTCGCGAGCGCGTGCAGCGCGTCGTTGTACGCGTGCGGGGTCCGCCCCACGGGCATTCCCTCGCGGCCCGCCTCGAGCGTCTCCTGGAGGGCCTGGCCCCGGAACAATTCGCCGCAGAATCCTTCATTTCGCGCCGCTGTGAGCGTGATGGCGTCTTTGCGCTGGAGGATTGGCACACCCAACTCGTCGACCTCGGCCTTATTCATGAGCACGGGGACGCCTCTGAGGTGGTCCTTGGCGTGTGGGACTCCAGGGGGCGGAGTGGACCCGCCCATGGCGGGCGCCGGGGCGCCCCGCGGCGCGTGCGGGTGACTTTCGCGTGCCAACGGACGGCGTCCTCGACCTAGACCGCTTTGAAAGTTTTGCCACAAAAACTTTGTTGACGTGAAGAAATTACGACGCGATGTGCGGCGCGGTGGCGGCCGGGCCAGCCTAACGGCCTAACACAACATGGCAATGACGCGGTCGCCGCCGGCCGAGGGCGACCGATGGCGCGACCTGAAGCTCTACGCGCTCTTCGCGGCCTTTGGCGGCGGGGCGTCGTGGTTCGGCACGGTGCTCGCCTTCATGGAGGTGCCGCTCTACCAGCGCCACTTCTCGGGCCTCGAGCTGTCGAACCGGCTGGAGCTGGGCTACAACTGCGGCACGGTGCCCGCGGCGGCGTTCCTCGTCGCGCTCGGCGTCGGCTGGCGCGCGAGCCGGC